CATAATTTAAATTCAACCAGTTTGATATTTAAGTCAAATATTTCGCGCAAAAATATTCTTAAAGTTATATTTTCATTTATCATTTATTGACCATTTGATTCTTTCTTTTCATTTTCATGTCTTTATACTTAAATGAAGTAATCATCAAAGGAACAATATTTACATCAGTCTGAACGCTGGCATCGAGCACAGCTCTTCTGAGCAATCAGGGCGGTGAACCTTATTTCTACCTTCCAGTTAGTTGCGTAAGCAAAATGAGAACGCTAAAGAAAGAAACAACAAAATAAAAAGACTATTGTCTTTTATAAGGAAGTCAGAAATGGGAAAGAAAAAATATTGAGCTTTATTACTAACTTAAAAAAATATTAAGATGGTTTCCTTCTAATATATTAATAGAGTTGTTGATTAAATTGCTTTAAATTTAGAGTAATTATTTCTACCTCGTTAATATTAGTGATTTAACAGATTAGTCAATTAATTTTTGCGTTTAAGAATGCATACATTTTAAGAACCATTATCTTGACCTTCAGTGATTTAAACGGAATGAATTTATTTGAAATCAAATAAATACGATTTCCTTTTATATAAGAAATCATACTTTTTTCACCTTGGCGGGGGGCGAATAAAATCACGATGATTTAAGCCAATATTTAAATCGTAATCTAAGTCTTGATCTATATTAGACAAGTTTTACTATTGGGCTGTGCTAGTAGAGTAACGGTTCCACAAAACCCCTTCTGCTAAGGTCCGTTAACTATCCGTCGTTCGGCTCCGTGGTGAGCTGCACCCACAGGTTCCGAAAACCTCCCAATTCATATGGGTTCCAAAATTAAATCTTCTGATCAGCCCCCCAAAAGGGTCCGCACCGACGCATATCTCCCACCTTTGGACAAGAATAACACCGACTATGTTACTAAGTTTTTCATTGTACATTCCGATGTTGAGACGAATCCGATGTCGAAACTTTCCCCTTTTCTTGTGGCTAAGGACTTAAGAAACTTTTAGGAGAAATGTTTAATGAAAAAAAAAAAGACTTTTTCTGGGGACCATTTGATGGAAGTATTTGAGAAAAATCAGGCAGCAGCGTTTCTGTGCCTTAGTCATATCCTTAACGCGAAAGTGAGCGTCTCTGCACACTGTACGCTCAACACCATTCGCGGGGTTATATCTGAGGACGACCTGATGGAGAGTCAGGAGGAAGAGATTGTTGAAGGTACACGCAGCCAGGGTGTTGTTGCTGTAAAGCGCATCACCATCCGTAGAGATAAGAAAGAACTTCCTACGCGAAACCTGGTCCTTACCTCTGAGCTTAACATCCTACCTTCTTCCGTGAAGGCGGGCTTCTTGAATTGTAGGGTCCACCCTTACATACTAATTGTGTTCATTGTTTTCGCGGTCAGCGCTTTGGGCATGGATCGTGGTCCTGCCGTGGCCGTGAGACACGTGCCAGGTGCGGTATTTGTGAGCACATCGCCCACGACTGTCGTGAAAACATGAAATGTGTCAATTGTAAAGGCAAGCACCCCGCATATTCTAGGTCACGTGAACACTTCAAAGGAGAAAAGAAAATTCTGACCCTGAAAGTGAAAGAAAACATTTCCTATCTTGAAGCGAAGCGTCGCCTGTTGAGTTTCCAGAGGGGCTCTTTTGTTTAGGTGGTTTCGCAAGGTTGAGGAGGTGTCTTACAGAAGGCTCGGATGCATCAACCGAGCAGACGGAGGCCACCTCGTCGCAGACGAAAGGTACCTCTGGAAAGGTGCGCACTGCTCCGCCCCGGGATGACAGGGTGCATGCTGGTCCACCAGGATCCACCCGAGCGCAGGTGTCTGCGCTCCTTGCACAGGGTCCTGCACTCACTGCTTCTCTATCCCAGCTACCGCAAGGTCGGGGACGTAGTCCTACTCCCTGTGGTGGACCTCTGGAACCGGGGTAGCCGTCAAGTTCACAGGCCTCCAAGTAGAAAAGCCTTTGTGGCTCTAGTTCGGGCAATGGACGAGAGTGGGTCAAGGTCCCACGAGGACAGACCCCACTCATGTTCCGAGTCTCTAATTCCGGTCTCCAGTGGCACCATGGGAAGGCCGAATGACACTGCTGCGCGTTTAAAGATAGATTTTAAGACGTAGAAAATTTGCTTACTCTTGACAGTTATTTTTATTTTTTATAAACTTTGCAAAGGTTCACAATTTTAGCATCATGCAGTTGGATTGTCGCGGCCTTTTTGAAAACATTAATGACGTACATTTTTCTTTGATGAGCTCAGTAATGTGGCCTTGTGCTTATAGGAGTGACACCCACGCAAAAGTGCTACATTGTCATCAGGGTTTCCGAAAGGACCGCATTTTATCAAACCCTACGGGTGGTGTGGCAGTGGTAGTACAGAGTGGAGTTGCCTGTGCTCCTGTCCCTCTAAAGACTTCACCTGAGGCAGTTGCAGTTCAAATTCTTCTTGACCTCCTCATTACTCTTCTGTCACTCTAGTTGCCACCCAGTAATCCGCTACATTTGCAAAAACTTCAAGAACTCGTCGGTCTGCTGCCCAAGCCCTTTTTAATTCTTGGTGATTTTGATTACAACCATTCCTTGTGGCATGGTCCTTGACAAAACTCTCGTTTTGGACTCATCGAACGACGTTTTATTATCATTCGGGCTATGTGTTCTAAATAAAAAAAGAAGCAACGTTTTAGTGCCGCCCATAACGCGTTACGGGCGGCACTTTTACAGCTATTGACTCTTCGCTTCCAAGAACGGTTTGTGCTACATGATTCTTAAACTGAATTGCCGTCCCCTTGGTTCCACATGTCTGGTGGTCCCCTACCGAATCCCAGATTATATGCTAGATTCGTCGTGATAACATTCTCGCAAATATTTTATAGTCAACGTTAATTAATGCTATAGGTCGGTACCCCAACACCCCCTGCCTTTGAACAACGTCATTAGATTTAGGTATCAGTTTTGTATGTGATTGTAAGAACGATGGTGGTAGTGCCTTGAGCTCGTAAGCTTCAGGTATAACTTCGTAATAAAAAGGGAAAATTGGGGCGCGGAATGGTTGATAGATTTCTGCACAGAGACCCTCAGGACCAGGCGTTTTGTGGGTGGCGAGGCCTTCGATGGCTCTTTCTATCTCTGTCAACGTGATGGTTTCTTCCATCCACTCTTTAACACCTTGCGAGAGCTCTGGTGTTATCCGGAGTAGTTCTTTGATGGCTGTCATATCTTTAGGCATATCTTTGACTCCGAACAGTTGGCCATGGTACGTCACAAACGCCCTTTCAATGCCGCCCCTTTCATTTATGACACCCCCGCTTCGTTCGACGGCAGAAATTAATTTTTGCCAGTGCAAACTTTCGTTCATCAGCCAGCGCACGTATCGTGGGCTGTTGCCCGACGAGAAACTTCTCGGCTCTTGCCTGCACTTCCGCTCCACAATAATTTTTATCTTGAAAAGCTTAAAGTTTGGCTTTCACTTCTTTTATCTATGTAGCCGTCTCCCTGGCTTATCACTCTAGACCTTAAAGAGTTCTAGCCAGCGCTGCTGAATTATTTTCTTCATGCTTTACTGCATTGTAGTTCAAAATAGACGACTTTTTTATGGCTATTACTTAAACTTCCTGTTTAAAAAACTTCAATTTCTCTTTATAACTTATACTGCAATCCTTAGTCACTTTCCTTAAAAGGTTTTTAGCACCATCTGTAAAAACTTCATCTTTTAGCAGCGTTACATTAAATTTCCATAGCCTCCTCAGTCCCTGTGACCCCAATCGGGGACAGTGGTTTAAGCGCGTGCAGTTGGTCACCAAATGCGAGTCCCCTCTTCAAATTCAAATTTCCCGCCTCTGCAAGCACTAGTTTATGCACGCTCCGTGAGATGGCGCTACTGGTCCAGCAGAAGCGCTGCACAGCGCGTTCCAAGATGGCATCTTCCATGGAATCCGCACGCCGTCGTCCTCGTGGTAAGTAAATTTTTTTTTCTCAAGCAATATGCACCAGAACGTTACTTTCAGGGTGTCGCAGTCCTTTTGAAAGGTCAGAGCACTGCCTGAGAACAGTTTAGTGTCATAGTTGCGTTGTTATTTGCTGCTAAGCGTTGTTTAGATCTGATGTCCCCAATCGGGTACTGTGGGTCCTAAGTACCACTTGATTGCTTTCAGCACCGTACCTGACTGACGAAGAAATTCAGGCCCTGCTGCAAGAAAGTGACGCTGATCTTACAGACTCAGAGGACACCGATGCTCTTGCCAATGGTGTGGACGGCCGTGGTGATACAGAACCTGAAAGTGATGATGGTGACGACAGCCAAGACGATCAAAGTGACCAAAGGCCACCAGCAATGACTCCGCCAAGGTGGAGGAGCAAAGCGTATGTATCTTTCAGTATTCTACGCGTATATCAAGTAAACTAGAAGATGCTCTGTGCACTGAAACCCACTTCTTATTTTTGAAATCAGATTTTCCGGCATTACCATCAGAGAAGAGGAGGAAATACCAAGCAGCCAGGCGCGCCAGGAGCCAGACACACCATTGAAATATTTTCTTAGATACTTTCAAGAGGACTTCTGGGAAGAATTAGCATACCAGACAAATCTATATTCCGTTCAGGAAAAGGGGGGGAGGTCAATTCAAACGGATTCAAGAGAGTTGAAGATGTTTGTTGGTATCCACATTGCCATGGGTGTACTGAAGCTCCCAAGAGTTCGGCTCTACTGGTCCCAAGTGCTAGGTGTTGATCTAATTGCACAAGCAATGTCAAGAAACAGGTTCTTTGAACTGAGAAGCAACATTCATTTTGTTGACAAGGTGTCGGTAACCACAAAACAAAAAGAAGAAAACAGGCTCTTTCTCGTAGAGCCTATTGTGAACTCGTTCAGAAATGCTTGCTTGGAGCTGCCCCGATCTCGTGAACTATCAATCGATGAGCAGATGATTCCGTTCTCGGGGAGATGTCCCGTGCGGCAGTGTGTGCCTTCCAAACCAAATCCTGTCGGCCTTAAAAATTTTGTAATGGCATCTCCGGATGGCTTAGTTCTGGACTTTTCCATCTATGTTGGCAAGGGCACAGTGTCTGATGATGACATGCGAGAGTTTGGACTTGGGGGAAGCGTCGTCAAGAAGCTTCTGGAAACACTAAGGAGGGACCGAGAGACTTTCGTGTTCACTGACAGGTATTTTACGGGCCTGAAGATAGCTGAGCACCTCATTGAAAAAAATGTTTTTATGACCGGCACAGTGATGGCCAACCGTACTCGTGGCATTGCAGGGACAATGCCGCCTGACCGGTCAATGCAGCGCGGTGAGTCACACTGTAAAGTGCGAAGTGACGACAAAGTGTGCATTGTGAAGTGGAAGGACAACAAATCTGTCTTGGTCTTATCCACTGCATTCGGCACAGAGCCCGAAGGAAGTTGCGAGAGGTGGTCGAAAGATGAAAAGAAGAAAATAAAAGTGAAGCAACCCGATGCAGTTGCAAGGTACAACAGGTACATGGGCGGGGTTGATTTAATTGACAGGTTTGTCTCCTACTATCGGATCTCTTTGCGAACAAAGAAATGGACTGTCCGCGTCTTTGCCCACTTCTTAGACTTGGCCTGTTGTAACGGCTGGATAGAGTACAAGAGAGACTGTGAACGAGCTGACGTTCCAAAACAGCAGAGACTAGATCTTCTTGACTTCAAAATGAACATTGCAATTTCACTCATTCAAGCAGAAATACGGGGATCCAAGAGAGTGCGAGAGCAGGAAGAGGAGAGCAATGAGGAAGAGACTACACACACTGGGCGGCAGAGGAGCAAAATCATTCCGCTTCCTCCAGATGATGTCAGATACGACATGACAGGACACTTCCCAGAGCATCAAAGGCTTGGATCACATATGAGGTGTAGGTATCCAGGTTGCGCGGGCAAATCAAGGGTGAAATGTCTGAAGTGTGGTGTATTTCTGTGCCTCCAGAACCGCAACTGTTTTGTTGCCTTTCACACGCACTGAGTCCCACAGGACCCAATCGGGGACAGCCTAGTTTCACAACTTCCCTTCTTTGTTTGAAAGAACTATTTTTTCCAGTGATTTTTTGTGTGCTCAAGTGCCAAATAAACAAGCTTGAAGCAAATCGTGCAAGTTTTCTGATCTTGGGACTGAAGAGGATAGTTTCCAGTTGAACTTTCGTGTCGCCTTTTCTCTTTGGCTGACAATCACAGTTACAAGGCAGTGATCGGTGAAAAAGATCGGTTTGACAGAGTATCTCCTGGTGCATGTGCTAACTTCCGTGGAAAAGTAAATCCTGTCTAAACAAGCGTGTGATGATAGCTTAAAGTGAGTAAATCGCAAATCGCATTGGAAACCTTGCATCTCCGCGACGTGCTCCAGCCCACTTTCATCTAGCATGGATTTCAAAAATTGAGCGCTTCTGTCGTTACTTGTAATTGCTGATGAACTATCTTCTGGGTTACACACGCGGTTGAAGTATTCTAGTAACATATTATACCTATCATACTTTAAGCTATATTCTAATTGACGAAGAAAAGCTTCCCTCTCGTAATTGCGTTAGGATCTTAAATGCCCAGCACACGCCACAGTTGACTGTTAGCCCTGAAATTACAAATAACAAGTCTGCCTTCGTCATCTCTCGGGATTTTTAAATCGGTCAGGTCAATCGTATTCCTGAGAAACAAAAAAATAAAACACATTGCCGACACACCAGTGGCTTGTCTGACATATATTTCATACCTATTAAAAAGGTTATAAGGCATACTGAATCTGTTCACTACCGTCAATTTTAGTTTGCTGAAGGGCTAGAATGTCTATATTTTCGTCACTGAGAAGCCGTTGGAGTTCTTGTTTTTTTATATTTAGCCCCCTGACATTTAAGCTGGCATTGAATAGGCGCGACAGTTTTTAAGCTGCCTATATTCCAGAAAAAGTTCGGTGAATGCCACATATTGCGAGTCTACGTTTGAGGCCATCCCGGAGGTCTCGGGTCTTGGTCACGATTCACGACACGGCTTTTCTTGGGTTCCTCTGCTTGCCACGGTGGTTCTTCATCAGCCGTGTCATCGGGTGAGGTCTTGTGTTGTGTCTGGTCCTGTTGTCGCTTCCCCGTCTGCTTGAAGTCGATGTTTATGGGTTCTGCCCCTTCAGTCTCACTGTATGCGGTATCCTTATTGCCACGCGCGTCGTCGAGTGAGCGCGTGCGTGGCCGAGTGGTTACCGCGCTTGACTTTTGTGTGGAAGCTGAAGGTTCGATTCCTGGGAGCTGCGTGTCATTAATTTATTCTTTCACTTTAGATTTCCGGTTAACTCAAGAACCTTGTTGACTGTTCGAGGTCCGAATGTTCTGCACGTCGAACCTTCTACGGCTATTGTTCCAGAAGCCCACGCGCGTACATAAAAGGCTCCGCGTGGCAAGCCGCAGTCAGTTTCTCCCCAGCGTTCGATCCAGCTGTTACGCCAACTTCGACGCCCGCGACGCTCTCATGTTATCATCTATTTACTTCTTTTGGGCACAAGTTCGCCTCATTAAACGTTCAAGTTGCTCAGTAATTCCCCTGCTATCGCTCCTCATTTGTGACATTTTTGTGGAGGTGCGGGGTAACGCATGCCCCTGCAGCCTACCCCTCCGAGGGCCCGCAGTGCAAGTCCGACACCAATCCCACGAAGAACCAACGAAAACACCACCGACACCCGAGTAAGTCACCTCACCCAGGACCTACACCTTTGTAGGGGGCACCTGCGTTAGTGGGTGTTTGGTGAGTGGCGTCACAATGGACCCCGTACCATGGGCGCACGCACTCCCACCTCTGGCTGTGCGTGGCTTTCCGCAAGCCCCAAGTACCCAGAGTCTGACCTGGAGTTCCTCAATAATAGAGGAATCCAACTCAAACCGCATCCTCAAAGGCGACGGCCCCGCGCCGTCTGCCCGCACGTCCTCGTGAGAAAACTGTGATGACAAAGCCACAGTGCCTTAAGGGGTGCCCTTCATCTTCCTCGCATCGCGAGGTTGATGCAATGGATGTCTCCAGCTGTGCGTCGGAGCCTCCACCTGCCCCGAAGGGTGGTAAAATCTGGTCAAACGTCAAGACCCCAAAGAAAAAGACTGAAGCGACTGGTCCTGAGGCTGGTATATAGCAAGTGCTTATTCGTGGATGCTGTTTCAACCCTCCCAAAAATGCTCATTAACATTTCACACACCTCACAGAATCAATGTTCGTTGTCGCTCACCTGCATTACCTCACTCACTCTTAGGGATCAGTTGAGACAGAGGAATAACGGCGACTTCCTCGCCAGTGGTGTTAGCCCGAAGTCTCGATCCCCTTGGAGGTCAGAGGGCCAGCTCCACAAGGATCAGCCAGAGGACTATTGGCAAGTCCCTCGCTGGGGCACTACTTTTATTTGTTTTTCCTCAAAGGTTTGGTCGGAACTGCCCTCCTTCTGACATCCTCACCCATTGATGTTTTCTCTCGTTTTTTATGAAATTCGTTTTTAGATTTTCCTTAGAACCGTATCTTGTGAGCGGTGCATTAAAGCTTTAGCTGCTCCTACGCTAGGGCTACGAACTCAAGGTACCGAGTTTCAAACATGTTACCGACAATGAGTCTTTTTCAACGGAACTGCCGAGGTCTCCGGTTCAACTATGACATGTTTGCCCCTTTGTGGAGTAATATCGTCCACTGGCAGTGTGTCTCAAAGAAACGCACCTGAAAGAGAGTAATTCAAGTGTGTTTATGCACTTTTATTTTTTCCGCAAGGATAGAGATCACTCTTCTCACTGTTGCGGCTTCGTGGCCATAGTAGTGCAAAAATCTGCTGCATGTGTTGAGGTTCCCCTGCACACCGCCTTGGAAGCAGTGGCTATTCGCATTCTGTTAGACCGCCTTATAACCCTTTGTACAGTTTACATTCCTCCAAACTTCCATGTAAGGTGCTAACACCTTGAATTACTCATTACTCAATTCCCCCATCTATTCATGATTCTTGGCGATTTTAATGTACACAATTCTTGATGGGGCAGTACTAGACGCGATACTCGTGGAGCAATCGTCGAATGGTTTGTTTTGTCAGTGAAATTGTGTCTGTATAACGAAAAGAAGCCTACATATTTAAGTGCACTCACAAACTCATTTACATCAATTGACCTCTCTATAAGTGAACCTATTTTATTTTCACTGTTTTCATGGCAGGTTACAGATATTCCTTTAGGCAGTGACCGCATGCGGAGTGTTTTCAGACGAAATGACCCAGGTATTACCCTCCCCACACGAACTCGCCGCTGGAAATTTGAGAAGGCAAACTGGTCAGAATTCAGCCAATTCTCACTACTCGCATGCACATCTCTTGACAAGCTTTCAATTGATGACGTGAACGAATATTGAATGAATTGTATCCTTTAGGCAGCCATAATGGAAATTCTCATTACCTTGAGACACCTCCCACGCCGTCCCAATGCTTTGTCTAATAAAGAATGCTCAGAATCACGAAAAAAACAAAGCAAGGTTTAGCATATTTTGACTGTATCCAACATCAAGCAATTTTCTTCACTTTAAACAAATGAAGGCCCGTGCACGGTACAGTGGCCGGCAGTCGAAAAGAACAAATTTCCAAGGGTATGCGACATCAATAAATGGCCACACATTCCCGAAAGAGGTCTGGGACCGAATTAACAAAATCAATGGATCCTATCTTGCTTTCACCATCACCCTGTTATCCTGCAACGGAACATGTCCAGAAAGTCTACATGAACAAGCCGTTATTCTCGAGAAACATTTCGAGTTAGTTTAAAGTTCTACGCACTATTCACTTTCTTTCTTCGGCTAAAACAACAGAAAGAAGCCAGGACCATAAAGGTACCAGGTGGTGCACGGGAGCCATATAATAGATCTTTCAACCTTATTGAACTAAATATGGTCCTTCAAAGTGTCATACCCTCGGCAGCTGGTTTTGACGGTATCCACTACTTCATGTTGAATCATCTCCGCCCATTTACACTCAATCTGGTGTTATACATTTTACACATAATATGGGAGGAGGGACGTTTTCCATCAGCATAGAGAAGGGCTACAATTATCCCTCTACTTAAACCAAAAAAGAACTCAGATGCTGTTACTAGTTACAGGCCAATAGCATTGACAATCTGTCTTTGTAAAACCTTCGAAAAAACGATTAATAGACGGCTGATGCAGCACTTGGAAAAACATTGCATCCTGGATAAATACCAGTGCGTTTCCCGCTCGTCCCGCTCGAAACAGGATCAATTGGTTCAATTGGAGACAACTGTCCGAGAGGGTTTTGTCAATAAAGAGCCCTGCCTCTGTGTTTTTCGGTCTCGAAAAAGCACACGATACTGCCTGGCGGGTATGGAAGTTTGAGGAACTTAATTGACATTGGGTATCCAGGGCCGTATGTTCCATGCCATTGAGAGCTATTTAGATAGACGCACCTTCCGAGTAAGGCTGGGGTCTGTACACTCACGATGGTTTGTACAGGAAAATGGTGTTCCACAGGGCGGTATCCTATGTTTTACTCTGTTTAATTTCAACATCAATTCTATCGCGTGTCATACCACCATGAGTTAAATATTTCCTCTATGTAGATGACCTCCAGGTCGCTGTTTCCTCATGTAATCTTTCAATCTGCGAACGCCGCGTTCAACTGACTATTAAAAATGTCACATGGTGGGCTGAGAATAAAGGATTTAAGTTCTCCATGAAGAAGACTGCTTGTGCTTTTTTCTCACGAAAACGCGTTGTGATCCCGACTACTTCGTTGACCATATGCAGTACACCAGTACAGATAAAAACGAATTATAAGTTCCTAGGGCTTATATTCGACTCTATGCTCTCTTTCAGCCAATATATCAAAACGCAAAAAAAAAATGTCATAAACCCCTTAATATTCCGAGAGTTCTCTCCTTAATGACTTGGGGTTCCGATCGACGGCGTCTTCTAAGAATCTATAGGTATATTGTGCGGTCACGTCTAGATTATGTATGTTTGGTGTACGGACCAGCGAGTGCAGCAACACTGGAAATGTTGGATCCAATTCATCACGCAAAGATCCGACTTGCCAGCGGTGCGTTTCGCACATTCCCAGTGCTGAGCCTCT